TTTTGTTTTGTTTTTTAGCAAGTTGGGGCCCACTTGACAGCACATAACAACAACAATGGGATGTTCAGTATCTGTTTCAGTTTCTATTGCTACGTGACAAACCAAAAAAACTTATGGCCTAATAACCGCTGTATTTTCTCACACTTTTCTGAGTCAGGAATTTGGCTTATCTCTGCTCAGTGATGTCTGGGCTTCAGCTGAGATACTGCTAATGTTTATAGCTGGCTGGGATTACTTGACTAAGGCAATATCTCTGAGGTATTGATTCTGGCTTTTGAGTGGGTTCCTCAACTCTCCTCTGTGTGACTAGCCTCTCATGAGACTGTATATATTGAGCTTCTTCATGATATTGCAGGGAAAAAAAATTAAATTCTTTACACATCAAAAATAATTAAGAAAAAAACATACCTGCCACAAAAATTCAGATTTTTTTTTTTAAACTTCAAAAGAAAAATACCTAAAACACACCATTGTCATGAATTATAAGAGTGGCAGAAAATATTATAGCACAATGTCCATTCATCTTAAAAGTAATAGAAATGCATTGTAATTGTTTGCAAGAGTACAGTGTTATTGAGATCTAATTATATTCTCTTCCTGAAAAACAAAAGAATAATGCAAAGAGAAATCTTAAAAAACAAAATTAATAGAGAAAAATATAGGAGTAAAAACTGTCAAGGTTGTGCAAGTATTATAAAGTCTGCTCTGTGTCGTAACTGCTATTAACAATAGCAGCAGTCCCAGGAGAAATTATGTCAAGGGAAAAGATATTAGTTATCTCATATACAAAATTGTGGAAAGGTTTAATATGTGGATTGAAAAGTGTTTGGATGAGATCTTTTTCGTTCACACTCTAAACATGTAACAAGTGTTTCTCTAGGCTTGTCCACTTGAGGTAAGAGAAAAGGAAGGATCACAATCTTGCAACACAAAAATATAGCTAGCGTCTGGCTCAGAGCACATGTGGAAAGCAGTTAAAAATTGTTATATCTAAGTGGGTGGCACACGGACGTTTGTTGTAATATTCTTTCAACTCTTCTGTGTGTTTGAAATTTTTCGAAATAAAAAGTTGGGGAAACGAAAATAATGACATCTGGATTAAGCCCTATCCCCAAGTTCTCTTGGACCCAAGTAAGTTTTCAAACATCATTTGCATTGGGCAAATCTGCTGCAAAAGACCTCTCTAAAGTGTGTAAGAGCAAAGATGTCACTCTGAAGACTAAGATGTGCCTGACAAAAGCCATGGTATTTTCAATAGTCTCATATGTATGTGGGAACTGGACAGTGAATAAGGAAGACTAAAGAAGAATTGATGCATTCAAATTGTGGTGTTGACAAAGAATGTTGGTTGTACCATGGACTGCAGAAGAATGAACAAATCCGTCTTGGAGGAAGTACAGCTGGGGTACCCCTTAGAAACAAGGATGGCTGCACTCCGTCTCTCATACTTTGGTCATAAAGGGACCAGTCCCTGGAAAAACATATCATGCTGGGTAAAGTTGAGGGTCAGCAACAAATGGGAAGATCTTCAACAAGGTGGATTGACATGGTGGCTGTGAAAATAGACTCAAGTATGGCAACAATTGTGAGGATGGCACAAGACTGGGTACTGTTTTATTCTGTTGTATATTAGGTCTCTGTGAGTTGAAACCAACTTGATGGCCCCTAACAAAAACATGTGCACACAGTGCCAATGATCCCCTCTGTAGATAGGAGTCAAGAAGCTCTTTGACTCCAGTCACTGCCATACAGTCCTTCCCATCTGTGATAGTTGTGTGTCAACTTGGCTGGGCCTGGTTGGGTGGCTGGGCAGCTGGATGTAGCAGTCCCCATGATGAGACTGGTAATTAACTCCATGGTGGAATCTACTGTGAGCCGCCGAGTGGCTGCCTTAGGGATGTGATCTGCTTCCTGTGTATGAGGAGAAGCCTTGGGGAAGCTGAGTTGTTGTTCAGCAGCTTGCCATGCTCTGCCGGTCTTGGGACTTTTAATGGACTTGAATTAATAGCTTGCCATGTGGTTTGGTAATATCGGGACTGTGCCTTGTTACTTGTCAGCCTTGGGTTTGTCAGCCTCTGCAGCCAGCAGCTGAGTGAAGAAAGGCCTCCAGCTTCAGTGGGCTGGGAGCAGGAGGCAGAGCTGAAGTCCAAGGTGGAGGGGCTTTCACCCAGCCCCTAGAGCCTGGCACTTTGAACTTGCACTTAAAGGCTCAAATTATAAGGAAAAAACCTCCTGTTTGTTAAGGCCATCCCATTTGTGGTATATTTTCTGTTAGAGCAGCACAGAGGTAACCAACAAGCCATCCTGCCTGCATTACTGTCTATAGTGGCTTATGTTACGGGTGCTGTCATCACTGTGCTGAGAGCTGTCTGTGCCGCGAGTCTGGGAGCTGCCACTCACATGCAGGTCTTGCCTTCCCCAGAGTGCAGTATAGGACGTGTCACGTTTGCATTTACCGTATCGCAGTAGGCAAATACAGCAGCAGCAGATTATCCTTCCCAGCCCTTCCTATAAAAGTCCCGAGGCTCTTTACAGATCTGTCTGGGGAGATGGTGACGTTCAGCCTCGATCCCCACCTTTCCCAGCTGAGGCTGAGACTGAGGTTTCCTGTTTCTTAGGCCAGGTCTGCAGAGATGAAACTGAAATTCAGCACTTTCACCTCCCTCCCCTATTGCTTCTCATTTCAAAGAGTGTATCTCCAAGTCCTGGGCTGGAGGCAGGAACCTCTTAAGAGGCAGGTGCTGATGCTGCAGAAGAAAATCTACCCAGATTCCTCCGCCTGTAGTTGATGGACAGATTGAACTTTCCTAACTCTGAGATGCTCTCTCTACTTATTCATGCTTAACTGATTCATTTTGCTCTATTTCCAAAAACACTTCTTTAGTAATTATACAGTATTTTTAAATCAATGAAAACAAAATTGGAACTGGAAACAAACAAAAAAGGTAGTCAAACACTATGATGATTTTTTTTTCAGGACAAACTTTTAAGATTGAATTTGTACTGGATAATGTTGCTCAGGTGGAATCAAGGACTTTCAGCCTGCCAGCACAGTCTGTCTCCAGTGGCAGCGGCAGCAGCAGCAGCAACAGCGAAGCAGCAACTCTGGGTACAGCGGCCCACGTGACTGTAGTAATTAGCTGTCTCGCAGGTAGAATGCTGCTCTTGGAAATATTTATGACTGCAGTTTTTATTCTGAATGTAAGTACAGCTCATTTTTTAATAGAATGTTTGTCTTCACATACTGAAACCAAAGCCAGACCAAACTCACTGCCATTGAGTTGATTCCGACTCATAGGAACCCCTGTTGGGTTTCCAAGGCTATAAATCTATACAGAGGCAGACCGCCTCATCTTTCTTCTGCAGAGCGGCTGGTGGGTTTGAACCACTAATCTGTTGGTTCACAGCCAAATACCTTAACCACTATATCAGTACATGTTTACTAAATACAGACTTTGTGTATAACATTTATGCATGGCATTAACCATTTCACGAAGACACAGTTTCAGGCATTGAGGTAGTAATTGCTTCATTGATGAAGACAAGAAAATCCTACAGGAAATGTTACTTACACTATGCAGTGGTATATAAGAATGAAGAGAAGTTCTAGTAATGTCAGGACTCTTTCCGTTGCAAGGGGTAGAGCTCATATCAAATCAGTTTAGGAAGAAAAATGAACCCACTTAACTTAGAAGTCCAGAAATAGTATGGTCTCTGTCACAGCTAGATCCAGGAGCTCAAATGAAGTCATCTGGAACCTGTATCTCTTTCTTGGTTCTGTTCTCAGTGTTAACTTCACTTCCAGGCAAACTCTCCACCCCTACCCACATTCACACACACACACACACACACACACACACACACCACAGCAGAGGTAGCTGGCAGCACCTTCAGGTTTATATTCCATCAGCTGAGAAGCCATGCCATAAAGAGCAAACCTCTTTCTCAACAGTTTCAGTAACAATTCCAAAGCTATGTCATTGACCTTGTTAGATCACATGCCCATTCCTAAACCAATCACTGGGGCCATGAAGATGCTGTGTCCTCATTATCCTGGCCTGAGTCAGATGAGGTGAGGTGCTTAGAATGGTCGAGGTGTGGTTTCACAAAGGGAAATCAAAATGCTGATTCCAGAAGTAGTAGACGAATCTAGTGAATGCTAGGGAGGTAAATAGGAAGGAGGGGTCCTATAGGCTGGAAAGTTTAGAGAAAACTGTCACCCACTAGGAGCACTTTAAATTTGGGACTGTCAAGAATAAATGAGATTTGGGGAACAAGAGAAAAGACACTTAACAACATGATAGGAGGAATGAAGACAGAAGAAGTGATAAAAGGCATCTTCAGTTGTATGTGGTCTGCTCAGAATTCCTGTATTCACTTTCAAAGGTGCTTTTCCTCCTGCTGTCTGATCTCAGTTAATGCAATGCCATAGTTCTTGTCCCACCGGCTGATAACTTCTTAGACATCTCCTTTGCATTCAGGTCCACATTCCTTCATGTGCTCTATGGCATCTATTTCCAACAATAATATCTCTTATCTAACCCTCCTTTAAAGTCTCACTGACCACTTAAAGCTTTCTTACCTCTAACTTGAACTTGAATTCTAACAATATCTCTTGAATTCCCTGTTTCCAAACTCCCTCACATCCAGCCCATCTTCTATACCACTGCCAAATTTAGATACCTAAAGCAAAAAAGCATCAATTCTGGTTTGTTGTTGTTGTTGTTGTTATGTGCCATTGAGTCGGACCCGACTCATAACGACACCTCCTTGGGTTTCCGAGACAGTATCACTATGGAAGTAGATTGCCCAACCTTTCTTCCGAGGAGTGGCTGGTG